ATATATTTATCCCTATGACTTTATAGGTGGGGAGGAATAGGGCAAAATATGTTTACTCCATCATGTCCAGAATGATGTCTTTTGTTTTTTTCTTTTTAATCTTTGCTTTTCTGCATGCAGGATTTTTTTTTCCTTTTAAAATTCTCTTGTTCTTAATGATTCTATTTTTTTCCTTTTAAAATTCTCTTGTTCTTAATGATTCTAATCAGTTTGGTTATGATTGCTTTGGTGTGATTTCCTTGGATGAGTTGGAACTTCCTGGGTATGTGGATTTATAGTTTTCACCAAACTTATTTGTCTTTTTTTTTTGGTTCCTACTCCTTCTTTTTGCTCTCTTCCAGGGATCCAGGTTACACATAATTAGGCTGATTGCAGTTATCCCTAGTTTCTATTACCCAATTTCATTTTCTTAGTCTATTTTTCTCTATTTCAACTTATAGTCTTTGTTGCTAGATTTTCAAGCTTACTAATATTTTCTTTCATAGTGTCTAATCTGTTAATCCCATTGACTGTATTTTTAAATTTTAGACATTGTTATTATCTCTAGAATTTTGGTTAGGTCTTTTTTAAATATCTTTTACATTTGTACCTAACATCAATGTCTCTGTTTTTTGGGCATGTGGAGAATAATTTAGATAGCTGTACTGCCAGTATCTATTACCAAATAAAAAATACAGCAAATTATATATGAAATCTATTTTTGTCATTTCCAGATGTGTTTCTATTGATTTTTCTCGTTATACTCATGTATTCCTGCATTTTTACACTCCTCTTAAGGTTTTGTTTTGTTTTTTACTACTTAGCCACACATAAAATTTACCTTCTATGTATTTCTTACCTGCTTGGTAGTTTTGTATTTCTAGAAATATACTCAAGCTTTGTTCTGGAACATATTTATGTCATCTGGTAACAGTTTGTTCCTATTAAGATCTGCTTCAACGGCACTTAGGTGGCACAACTGGTTGAGCATCTGACCTTGGCTTTGGTCATGATCTCAATGATTTAGGAGTTCAAGCTCTACAGTGGGTTCACTGCTGTCAGCATAGAACCCATTTCAAATTCTCTGTCCCACTCTCTCTGCTGCTCCTCAGCTTGCACTCTCAAAAAAAACACACACACAAAAACAACAACAAAAAAAAACCCCATAAAAAACAAAACAATTTACTTCAAATTTTGTTAGGTGGGACCAGGAAACCTTTAATATTAACTTGTCTCTCTACTGAGGCAGTAAGAGTTCTCGAGTAATCTAACCAGTGCCCTTCATTATATTATGAAGTTTACCACTCTGGCAGATGGGGACCCAAACTATTCCTGGCTGTACTTCCAAGGGTTACCTCTGCTTTTTCTAAGCATTTCTTTTGCTAGCTTTAGGTGGTTACCTCCATGCACTGATCAGAATTTGCTCTAGGAGCGCCTGTGTTGCTGTTTGGTAAGCATCCTACTCTCAGTTTCAGCTCATTAGCTCATGATTTATGAGTTCAGCCCTGCACTGGGCTCAGTGCTGTATGGAGCCTGCTTGGGATTTTCTTCCTCCTTCTCTCTGCTCTTTCCCACCTCTCAAAATAAATAAATACTCTTAAAAAGGAAAAAAAAAAAAAAAACTTGCTCTAATAGTCTGCTCTGTAAATTAGCTATCTCAGCCTTCCTGGATTCTCATCTCTATTTTGGCATCACGAGGTTCCCCCTGCATTCTTCCTCTCTGTGCTGAGATATGGAAATGCCTATTAGTAAGTAAGTGGAGTCAAACTATGCATATCACATTTGTTTACACTTGGTTAGGCATTTTTGTTGCCTAATGTTCAATATCTGAAAACGATTGCTGCTTGTATGTTATCTAGTGTATGTTACTTTAGGCAGGAAGATAAATCCATTCTTTTTCCATTTTGGCTGGAAGCAATTTTTTAAATATTTTTTTAAATGTTTGTTTATTTAATTTTGAGAGAGAGAGAGCACACAAGCAGGGGAGGGGCAGACAAAGAGAGGAAGACACAGAATTCGAAGCAGGCTCCAGGCTCCAAGCTGTTAGCACAAGAGCCCGATGGGGGGCTCGAACCCACCAACTGCCAGATAATGACCTGAGCTGAAGTCAAATGCTCAACCAAGTGAGCCACCCAGATACCCCTAAATTTTTGTTTTTAATGTTTTATTTTTGAGAAAGAGAATGAATGTGAGCGAGGGAGGGGTAGAGAGACGGGGAGACAGAATTTAAAAATTATATATTTGGGATTCTTTGGTACAATTCTAATGGTCTGTTTCTCTTTATATTTTCACCTTCAAATTTTAGTATCCATCAGTGAATTTTGTATATGATTATTACTGTTATTACAGTGATTTCCTATTTCCCTCATTCCTTTTACATTTATTAATTAGAATTCTTCACCATTAAACTGAAAGAAGGATCCTATCACTGGAGGCAAATATCATGGTTCACTGCAGCCATAAACAAGATAGGTCTGGAACATTCTCTCATATTAAAAACAAATTTCTAAGTAGGCTAGGGAAGATACGGAAAAGATAAAAGATTAAATGAATATGGAAAGGAATGAGCATCAAAACGAAGTAGCAAAAAAATTAACAGTTATTAGCAATAATTACATTATGGTTTATTGTACTATGAGCATCAAAACGAAGTAGCAAAAAAATTAACAGTTAACAGCAATAATTACATTATGGTTTATTGTACTAGCAGTCTGTGAAATGACAGGAGTTCATTACAAAGTTCAAAGAAGAACATTAATGGAATGTGACTAAATATAGCTGTAATACAAATAAGAGAGGCATAATAAGGATATGTTGAATTTATTAAATTTTCATTTAATAGTGATTCTGAAAGTAAGTGCCAAGATACATGGTTATTTAGGTGTATATATAAGGATTAGCTCATTGTTTTAACTTGCTCAAGCCAGAAAAAGGTAAAATGAAATAAAATAAAAATACACAAAAGAGTCTATTGGCAAGTAGTTCTGGAGTATTACACCAATAAGAGAGAAACTCATCAGTATTGATAAGAACTCAGAATAACCAAGTAAAATGGGATGAAAGAGCAAATCAGCAGTGTGGTCACATAACAGCTCAGTAAGTAGAATAAACTATTAATGATTATAAAGAGTTGAACTATTTTAAAGATATGAAATAGTACATATCCTAATAAGGATAATAACAGATTCATTATCTTATTTTGTAGCATATGAAATATCTACTAAGTATATATTTTTTAAAACTGCTAATTTATTTTTTTCTATAAAGTTGAGATTTTTTAAAGTTTATTTTGAGAGAGAGAAGAGAGCATGGAAGCAGTAGAGAGAGAGAGGGAGAGACAGAAACTCAAGTAAGCTCTGCACTGTCAGCAAGGAGCCAGATGTGGAGCTTGAACCCATGAACCATGAGACCATGACCTGAGCCAAGATCAAAAGTTGGACATGTAATCAAGTAAGTCACCCAGGTACCCCTAAAACTGCTAATTTAAATAAAACACTAATTAGAACTATTTAAAGAAAACAGTCCAATATGTCCAATAAGAAAATGGCTTAATTAGTATCGCTGGTCATGTAAAACTTTAAAGAGTCCAAAAATTCTGGAGAAGACCAATTTGAAAAATTAAAATCTAGTGAGTGATAGTGACATAAATATCTAAACAATAGGTAAATTCTTATAAAAATGTCTAATAACCAGTGGCTCATAATGAACACCAATTGCATAATCCAGTCAACTATTCTGACTAAGGAAAGAGATGATGGACACTTAATCTCTGTCACTAATTTTCTTTCTTTCTTCTTTTACTTTTCCTTTCCTTGCTAAAATCAAAGTTCTATTGATTGTTAAGCTGCCAAAACTCAGCAAGGCAACACAGAGAGAATAAAAAGTATAAATCTACAAACCCAGTTGAAGTCATGGTAGTAATAGAGTTCTAAACCCTCTAAATGTGAGTTTACCAAGTTTATAATCATTGCAATAGTTGTAGATTTCCCCCTTCTTTAATAAATCTGAGACAGATAAGACTGGCTTAGTAAATTTTATAAATATTTAAAAGTGCCCCTTTGGATCCTCATTGGTAGTATCTAGAGATAAAAAAGGCTCTCTAAAGGAATTGTATTGTGGTAGGTATTTAGGCAAGTCTGTCATGTCAAAACAAAAATTTTAAAAGAAATTAATCATTTTCTGACAGTGGAAAGAACATTACACATCTACCATTAAAACAAGAATAGAAAATGAAACATAAACAAATCTACACAAATACCATGCACAGACACAAAACTTTAAAATCACATAGGGGGCGCCTGGGTTGCTCAGTTGGTTGAACGTCCAACTTCGGCGCAGGTCATGATCTCATGGTTCGTGGGTTCGTGCCCCGCGTTGGGCTCTGTGCTGACAGCTCAGAGCCTGGAGCCTGTCTTCGGATTCTGTGTCTCCCTCTTTCTCTGACCCTCCCTTGCTCACGCTGTCTCTCTCTCAAAAATAAATAAAACATTAAAAATATTTAAAAAAAAACACATAGTATCTGACTGGAAGTTTTCACTCTCTGAAGGAAGAAAATTATACATATAAACAAAAAATTAGCAAAGGATTTATTTGAATAATATTAGAATTTAGTAAGCCAAAAACAATGAATAGGCAGAAACAAACACCAAAAGTAACTGTAAGCAAAACATGCCTGGGAAAGAAATTGATGTGAAATTAACTAGTTAATAATTAGTGAAACGCATTTGCCACACATACCAAAAATGAATAGGGACCATCCTACCCAAACAGATATTCAGAAGGTTAACTGACATAAAAAGGAGAAATAGTTGGCAATATCTAACAAAACAAAGTATATATATCACTGAGTGATTGTACTTCTTCTTTTTTTTTTTAATATTTTTATTTATTTCTAGGAGAGAGAAGAGAGACAGCGTGAGCAGGGAAGGGTCAGAGAGAGAGGGAGATACAGACTCTGAAATAGGCTCCAGGCACGGAGCTGGCAGTCAGCACAGAGCCCGACGTGGGGCTCGAACCCACGAACTGCGAGATCATGACCTAAGCGAAAGTCGGACGCTTAACCGACTAAGCCACCCAGGCACCCCATGAGTGATTGTATTTCTAAATAGAGTGGCCAGAAAGTCTGGAAGCAATAAGAGCAACATAATCGCTTTGATTACTTCTTCTTATAATGCATCAGTTTTCCCAGTGAAACTCAGAAACAAAAGTCTTTTGTACATGTATTTCATTCAAAAGAGTTCTCACCAGAATAGCTTTTTTGATATCATGTAAAGTGCTTACCCACACTAAAGGCACTCCCACATTCCTCACATTCATAGGGTTTCTTACCAGTATGAATTCTCTGATGTTTTGTAAAGGATGAACTATGTCTAAAGGCCTTCCCACATGCCTTGCATTCATAAGGTTTCTCTCCAGTATGAATTCTCTGATGTTCAGTAAGGGCTGAACTATGTCTAAAAGCCTTCCCACATTCCTTACATTCATAAGGTTTCTCACCACTGTGAATCCTCTGATGTTGAATAAGTGCTGATGTAAGTCTAAAGAACTTTCCACACTCTTTACATTCATAAGGTTTTTGACCACTGTGAATTCTCTGATGTCGAGTAAGTTCACTACCGACTCCAAAAGCTTTCCCACATTCCTTACATTTATAGGGTTTCTCACCAGTATGAATTCTCTGATGTCTAGTGAGGGATGAACTGTTTCTAAAGACTTTTCCACATGCCTTGCATTCATAGGGTTTCTTTCCAGTATGAATTCTCTGATGTCGAGCCAGTTCTCTACATACTCCAAAGGTTTTTCCACATTCTTTACATGCATTTGGTTTCTCACCTGTATGAATTCGCTGATGTTCAATAAGCTGTGAACTAATCCTAAAGACCTTCTCACATTGTATACATTTGTATGGTTTCTCACCAGTATGAATTCTCTGATGTTCAGTTAACTGTGAATGGAATCTAAAGTCCTTGCCACATTCCATACATTTGTAAGGTTTCTCATCAGTATGGATTTTCTGGTGTCGAGTAAGTTGTGCATGCACTCTAAAGGATTTCCCACAGAAAGTGCATTCATAGGGTTTCTCACCATCATGAATTATTTTTAGTGGAGTTATTTCTTCATCTCTTCTAATGGTCCTTTTATATTCCTTACATTTATAGCACTTCTGATCATTATTAATTTTCTGATGTATACTAAGGTCTTCATAAAAACTAAATGGATTCCCATATTCCATATATTTACAAGGTTTTTCACCAGTATGAATGTTCAGTTGTAGGGTATGTGGTTCATCTCCAAAGGTTTTCCAATATGCATTACATTGATATGTTTTCTCACCAGTATGTATTCTCTCACATTCATCAAAACTTAAGTCACAGCTAAGGACGTTCCCATATTCCTTACATTCATAGGGTTTCTTGCTTTCATGAATTCTCTGATGTGATATAGGAGATTTATGATGTTTATAATTTGGCACTTTTTCAGAGATGATTTTTATTTGGCTGAAATATCCCACTTTAGGTCTTTGTACTTCAGTCTTGCTTTTGCTTTGCCAGTTATTTCTGAAAATGGAGCTCTCAAGACCAAGGAATTTACTTTCTGTTACTTTCCACTGAGAACGGTTATTTTCAATAATGTTCTTTCCATTATATAAACACTTTGTGTCATACTTGGACTCCAAATCTGAAAGAGAGGGGAAAAAGAAACAATTTTTTTCATGTGCCATAAAAATGAAACATTTATACAATTCAGAGAAAAACTGCAAATATAAACAATACAAGTGAGTGATTAAAATACTGTAATGAAGTTTAATAATTTTTTTAATGTTTAATTTTTGAGAGAGAGACAGCGTGAGCAGGGTAGGGTCAGAGAGAGAAAGATGAAGATACAGAATCCGAAGAGAGGCTCCAGGCTTTCAGCTACCTGTCAGCAGAGCCCGACGTAGGGCTTAAACCCATGAACCATGAGATCATGCCCTGAGCCGAAGCCGGACGCTTAACTGACTGAGCCACCCAAGTGCCCTTAAAATACTATAATGAAGTTTTAAGAAAGATCAGAGAATGATGAAAGCATAGTATAAGATTGTGAGGGAAACAGATTAAGTAAATGTCTGACATATAGGTGTTGATCACCATCTAGTAAGTTTGTTGTCAAGTACTAATATTACAAGTCCAGATAAACTGACCAACATCAATAGATGTAGAACTAGTTATCAATATCATGTAGAGATGCTGCTGATGTGGATCACAATTTGATCATCTATGCATACTAATAATTCTGTATAGTTTTTTTTAAACAATAGAATCCAAATACTTTAGTGGATAATGATGTGTATAAGACCTCATTTTAATCCATTATCCCCTTTCACATAATCTCTTACAGCAAACCAAATTTCCACCCACATTTCTCAGAAATGGATTCTTTATATATGACCCACATTTCACTGTCTGGGTCCAAAAGTTAATATCCTCAGAAAGGATGTACTGATTGTAAGTTCATATTTGTTTCTGTTCTAATATCTAGTTGCTTGCCTTCAAATTTTTATTTTTTTTCAATTGTGTATTCAGTAATTTTCTGTTGTTACACTGTTTATTCCTTGAATTCCAAAAGGACAAAAGTAATCACTTTTGATTACAAAAGTGTAATTCAGTGTATATGCCACTGAAAAACAAACCCCAAGGACATATACATTGATAATTACAGGGAAATAAAATGACTGGATGAAAGGAATCTAAATAAGACGAAAAGGAAATATTACAAAGATCAGTCACTGGGTAATACAACTGATCATCAAAATAATGCTGTGCCTGGGTGGTTCAACTGGCTAAACATCTGACTTCAGTTCAGGTCATGCTCTCACAGCTTGTGAGTTCAGGCCCCGCACTGGGCTTTGTTCTGAGAGCTCAGAGCCTGGAGTCTGCTTCAGATTTTCTGTCTCCCTCTCTCTGCTCCTCCCCAACTTGTGCTCTCTCACTCAAAATTAAATACATATTTTAAAAATAATAATTATGTAAGCATAAAAATAATGCAGTAGTTTTAGTATGTCTTCATGCTTTCTAACCCTCACATTATACTGCAGTGATTTATACACACGCACAAATAGTGTTTATGAATGTTTTCTAATTGACTCTCCACTTAGACTGTCTCCATCACTGCTGTTAATTCCCTGCTATGCAGAACTATGATTTTCTTAACGTCAATACAAATGAAGGATTTTATTTACTTTTCTTCATTAGCTTTTTCACTATCATCTATCCTACAGAGATCCTAGTCTATATTTAAATGTTTTCCTTCATGCTCTTTCCCAGATATCCTTTCCATTTTCCTGTACTCAAAGCCACCCATGTTACATTCCGCATGTCAGTATCAGACTATTTTTGGTATTATAGTAGGTATGTATCGTATTATATAAGGATTATGCAGTTCTGAAAAGGGGAATAAGCTACCAGAATGATGTGGAAAAGGCAGCACAGGTGGGCAAGAGTGGAAGGCACTTTGTAACAAAGGATCTGTTGAACACTAGCTGGAGACTAGTAATCAGATGAGAGGATAACCTGAGGAAAATCCAAAGTGAATAGTAAACATTGCATAATACAGGGCAAAAATAATTTCTTGTGACTGAATTATGTTATATGTAACAAAGGTATAATAATGCAATCATTATTGGATTAGAATAATAAAATCATAAAAGAATGCCAGTATCAGTAAATCAAAAAGAACTTCTACCTAGAAATGAAAAGACGGGGCGCCTGGGTGGCTCAGCTAGTTGAATGTCTGACTTTGGCTCAGGTTTTGATCTCACAGTTTGTGAGTTCAAGCCGTGCGTCGGGCTCTGTGCTGACAGCTCAGAGCCTGAAGCCTGCTTTGGATTCTGTGTCTTCCAATCTCTCTGCCCCTTCCCTGTTCACGTTCTGTCTCTCTTTCTCAAAAATAAATAAATATTTTAAAATTTTTTTAAAAAAGAAAGAAAAGACTCTCTACCAAATATGGAAATGTAACTGAAATTACAAAAACTTCAGAGAATGACCGCACTGAAAATGCAGTTGACCCTTAAAACCGGGGTTATGGTCCCTATGGTCTGCACAATCAAAAGTCCTCATATAACTTTGACTCCCTCCAAACTTAACTATTAATAGCCTACTGACTGGAAGCCTTTCTAATAACAAACAGTTGACTAACATATATCTTATATATGTATTATATACTGCATTCATACAATTAAGTACAAAAAAGAAAGTCTTAAGAGAAAATACATTTATAGTATTGTATTACCTTTATAAAAAAGTTCACATTGAAGTGCACCCATATAGTTCAAACCTGTGTTGTTGAAGGGTCAACTATATTACATATTAAAACTATGGAAGTCAACGTTAGTCACACAAAAAAGTAAGGATTTACCTACTTTTGACACTAATTAGCTGTGTAACCTTGGAGAAGCTGCCTAAGTACTCTTTGTCTTAGCAAAATAATACAACTACTATTCATGTCATCAGGTTACTGAGGAATTAAAAGATTTAGTATATTAAAATTGCTTAGAACAGGGCCTACCACATGGCAAGAACTATATGATCTGACAGGAAAATAGGTAGCTTTCTAAAACACTAAAAGATCCTTGCTATAATACTGACAACGTTAAATGCAAATTATTTAACCACAAAACAGGTATGAAACAATGCATATTGCAGGCACAGAACATAAATTCTGTTTATCCATTTAACATGAATTACAGATTCTTCTAATAATCATAATGAATCAGGACACAGTTTCTTAGCTATTCTTCAAGAATCTGGGATAGAAAATAACAAAGCATTTATAGCAATTCTGAATTTAATCACAATATAATAGCTCTCTCAAAAGATATATTATATGTGTCCTAAAATTTAAATTAAACTCCCTGGGTGTCAGGGAAAGTAGAAATATGAAGGGACCGAGAAAGTACAAACATCATGAAGCATGAGGAATGTGCTTAATGGAGGTGTCATCTCCAACATAATGTTCAACCCACACAGGGAGAAGAAACATACCTACTTTCTTGCAAAAGATAGTCTTGGGTTTATTGACAAGCAACTGATAGAACAGAGCAGCTGATCGAATAGACCATATTCGAAATTATATGAAGCAGATAAATTTACCCAGTGAGACCAAGTTGCTATAGTTCTCCATCATCACATCCCAATATAAGTCCCTCTGAGCTGAATCCAGATACTCCCATTCCTCTTGAGAGAAGCTGATGACCACATCCCTGAAAGTCACCAGTTCCTAAAATAAAAAACCATATATTGATGAAATAGAAGGCAATATTTTTGAGAAAAAGAATAACATTATGGTAAGCCGACTAGTAAACTAGTAGGCAAGGGTGGGTAGAAGGTTATAGTATGGGAAGTAAGGAAATTAGTGCTCCCAAATAGGACTATCTACATATCTTTAAAGAATCCATTTCATTCAGAGAAATCTTCATGCATATTATGGAATTTCTTAGTCAAGCATGTCTGGAAATAAAATGAGTTTACAAATTAAACAGCATGTTCATACACAGTGCATACTACATGCCTGCCACATGAATTAATCAAGTTGAGTTTCTAGATCCTTGTTCTTCTGTAAAGGAAAAATATCTAACTTAGAAAATGGGATGTGAACACTATAATTTCTTACAGCTCCAAGTTCAACACTGTGTTAAGTATTATTTAACAATGATATGATCAGAACTTTTACTTCTAATGACAAATTATTTAATAAGTACTTTTTAGTGGCTAAAGAATAGTCTATTTGGTGAAAAAATATCAGGCTTAATTGTATTTAGACATTTACGGTAGATAAGGTGTTCTTCAATTCTGGGAGTCTATAATCATCTATTTATGTATGATGGAGGCCAGTCAAAATCAAATCCAATCTACCTGGAAACTCTACTCTCTTCAGGAAAAGTACAGAATTTTCCCATATGTAATCAAATGGATACATCTGATCTTTATCTAAGAATATGACAGTACAGTAAATTCCTCCATCTAGGTATTCTATTTCTGCTCTATAGCTGGTGTTAACAAGAGACTCAACAAATAAGAGTGTTGAAAATTATTTGGAGAATAGAAAGGTACATAGGAATTACACTGTTATGTTTGGTTCCAACTCTCACCAGAAAGTGAAAAACTGGGGAATGTGGGGTAGGCCCTATTTGGTAAGAAGATTCAGAAAAAGGAAATGTTCACAAAGGAGAGAGATTCGGCAACTTACATGGTCCATGCTTACAACTGTAAAGAATTGGTCAGGGAATTCCATTTCTGCCATGACAGCATGAGGAGCTCCGTCGACATGCTCCCTGTCAAAACTAGTGAAAAAAAAATATACAGCAAATGAATGTTCAGGAAATCTACTAAAACTTATAAGCTGAAAGTGCACAGTATCTGAACCAAACCTGCACCCTTCCCTTGTTCCTCACATCTTAGTGAGAAAGATACTCCATTTCAAACTGGTATAGTCAAGGACACAGGCTTCCTCACCAACTGTCAACCTGTGTTCCCAATCAGATGGCTATCTTCTAGTGAGAAGCAGGATACCAACATTTCTCATCTTGCTCCCAGCTACCCACTGGCTCAGGGAAATGCAGCTAAAGGACACAGATTTTCTTCTGTTTGGCTCCAAACACAAAATGTAATATATACCTTGGGTGTGGCCCTGGTGAGAATACTGGGGTTCCAGTTGTCTGCCTTGGATCTTGGGGTAGGGTTTCCATGCCAGGGGAGGCAAACTGAAACCTCTGGCTGCTGCACTCACCCTCTCCCCACCTACCAAGCATCCAGCTCCTAAAAGAAGAGGTGTGACTCCAAGAGAAGCATGCCACTATCCCTAACCCAAGTACAAGATCTGTGCCTCGGTGATTTTGTCCAGAGGTTCAGAAGCTGGTCACAGACAAGAGAGTTCCACATCCCTCTCCATAGGAAGTGACCTCAATTGTAACTGTAGGAAAGTTCAAGCCTAAGGACATTCTGATTCCTACAACTCAGTATACTGAGTACAACAGCTTTTCTGACTTTTTAAAGAGATGTGTGTTTACTGGGCACCTGGGTGGCTCAGTCGGTTAAGTGTCCAACTTCAGCTCAGCTCATAATCTCACGGCTCATGAGTTCAAGCCCCATATCAGTCTCTCTACTGTCAGCACAGAGCCTTCATGAGATCTTGTGTCTCCCTCTCTCTCTGCCCCTCCCCCATGCACTCACTCACACACACACACACTCTCTCAAAAATAAACATTTAAAAAAAGAAAAAAGCTCATGCTAAAAAAAAAAATGTTTATTTTGAGAGACAGAGAGAGAGAGAATCCCAAGCAGGCTCCATTCTTATGACATGGAGCCCCATGAGTGGCTCGATCCCACAAATCATGAGATCATGACCTGAGCCGACATCAAGAGGTGGACACTTAACTGACTGAGCCACCCAGATGCCCAAGCATTTCTGACTTTTGTGAGTCCTTCTAGAAAATCACTGAACCTGAGAGTGGTCTTGGGACCCCTGAATAAAGTTGGTTTTATTTCAAACTAGTTCATCACAAATACAAATTTTAAAAAAAATTTTTTTACATTTATTTTTGAGAGAGTTAAGAGCGTGAGTGGGGGAGGGCCAGAGAGGAGACACAGAATCTGAAACAGGTTCCAGGCTCTGAGCAAGCATTCAGCACAGAGCCTGATGTGGGGCTTGAACCCACGAACCGTGAGATCATGACCTGATCTGAAGTCGGACGCTCAACCACCTGAGTCACTCAGGAGCCCCCACAAATGCAAATTTTTATATGAATTCTACAGGATAAATGCTAATGAAATGACTAAATTGTATAATGAATAGGAAATATTCTGTGCTGACAGCTCAGAGCCTAGAGCCTGCTTCAGATTCTATGTCTCCCTGTCTCTCTGCCCCTCCCCTGCTCATACTTTGTCTCTCTCTCTCAAAAATAAATATTCAAAAAAATTGTTTAAAAAGCACAGCATATATAGAAAACAAGTAAAAAATTCCCCTCAGTTATTACTTTACATGCAAATGGATTACACTTTTCAACTAAAATGCAGAGATTGGCAGAATGGATAGAATGTCTACAATAAACTGATGACAAATCCAAACATATAAAGAGGTTGAAAAATAAGTGGATATAAAAATATATTGCATACTGGTAGTCATCAGAGAGTTGGATGGCTATGCTAATATGAGACCGAATAGGCTTGAAGTCTTACAAGAGACAAAAGAACATCTCATATGTTGATAAAAGGGTCAGCCCACCAAGAAGACACAACTACTATGAACATATATGCCTTAAAGCCCCAAAATATATGAAGCAACAATTGACAGGATTGAGGGGAGAAACAGAAAGTTCTACAATAAAGTTTGAGACTTCAATAAACCAACTTCAATAATGGATAGAAAGACTAGGCAAAAGATAATTTGGAAATAGTAGAGTATAGCTACACTATAAATTAACTGGACATCCCAGATATACACCAAACACAACACCAAATACCAGAATACATATTCTCAAGTACAAATGAATAGACCATATGCTAGGCCACAAAAGAAAACACAACACAATGGAATATTAGCCATTAAAAGAAAAGAATTACTGACATGTATTACAAAATGTGAAATTTGAAAACATTATGCTGTCTGGGAGAGGCCAGACACAAATGCCTTTCAATTATTATAATCACTGAATTGTATAGTGTAAAATGATTAAAACAGCAAATCCTGTTATGTATATTTTCACAATTAAAATAACTGACAAATGGAGAAAGACAATTCAGCAAAAGTGGCCACAGATGTCAATATCCCATGTTCACAATGGATAGAATAATTAGGGAGAAGATCAAGGAAACAAAAATCTATAACCAACAACACTATAAACCAATTATATTTATACAACATTTATACAACACTTCATCCAACAATAGCAAAATATACATTCTTCTCAAATGCACATGGAACATTTTCCAAAAGAAACTATATGCTAGGTTAGAACATAAACCTGAATAAATTAAAAAAAAAAAGAAACAATAAAAAAGAGTTTTGTCTACCCATAATGGAATTAGAAATAAATAAGAGAAAAATGGGAAACAAAACACTCCTAAATAATCAATATGTCAAAAATGAAAAAGTAAACTAGAAAATAATTTGTGAATAATAAAATGAAGACAACCTTTCAAAACTTATGACATGCAATTAATGATTAGAGGAAAACTTAAAGTTTAAAGTGCCTGTAATTCAAACTAAATATCTAGGTCAAATTTAACCTCACTCCTTAAGTCACTGGGAAAAGAAGAGTAAAGATATCATATATGAAAAATACCCAGCAATAAATGAAACTGAAAACTGGTTCTACGAAAAGTATTTTTTTATTAAAAAAATATTTTTTTAACATCCATTTATTTTTGAGAGAGAGATTGCGAGTGGTGGAGGGGTAGAGAGAGAGATACAGAATGTGAAGCAGTCTATGGGCTCTGAGCTGTTAGCACAGAGCCTGATGTGTGGAGCTTGAACCCATGAACCATGAGAATATGACCTGAGCCAAAGACAAACACTTAACCAACTGAGCCACCCAGGCGCCCCTACCACCACCTTGATTTCAGACACTGTCATCTGGGACGGTGAGAGAATACATTTCTGTAGTGAAGCCACTCAGCTTGTGCTTTGTTACAGCAGACTCGGGAAGTTGCACAAGATCCAGCCCAGAAAAATCCAGCCTCCACTCTGGGGGACCGATACTAACACCTGCCTTCTGAGAAGGGGCTGGGTAGGTAGAAGGTTGGGAGGCAGCAAACCTGAGAACCAAACACACCTACTGCATCCCTGTGCCTGCATTTTGCCTGCAGCAAACCCTAGGCTGAGGGACACAGCCTGGGGCAATCTGGGGTCTCCTGGGGATCTTGTTAAATGCAGAGTCACTAGGCTCTCAGAGAGGGGATGCTGTGGGTCTGTGGACCACACTCCTGAGCACAGAGGCCAGGGGATGATGTGGGTCTGAGAGCTCCCTGGATGCAGAGTGAAGAATGAAAAGGGAGGCCCAAGGCATCCACTACTCACAGATTCAGACTTTCTGGGCCTACTCCCTGGAATCCACATGTTCAACCACTTCCTTAGGACAGCCTTATGACAATAGAATTCTTTTTTTTAAAGATTTTTTTAATGTTTATTTTTTGAGAGAGAGAGAGGGGGAGAGAGACTCTCAAGGAGGCTCCACACTGTCAGCACAGAACCCAACTTGGGCCTCAAACCCACAACTGGAGAGATCATGACCTGAGTTGAGATCAAGTGTCGGACATCCAACTGCCTGAGCCACCTGGGTACCTTTATTTAAGAGATTATGTGTATGCAAGGAGAGAAGGGGCAGAAAGAGGGAGGGAGAGCCCTCTTACTGCAGATCTTACAAACTGTAAGATCATGACCTGAGCTGTTATCAATAGTCAGACACTCAACTGACTCAGCCACCCAGGTGCCCCAATGGGATGATTCATTTAAAATGCTAAAAGGGGCATTGGATGACTCAGTCCATAGAACATACGACTCTTGATCTTGGGGTCATAAACTCAACCCCCATGTTGGGCACAGAGATTACTTAAAAAAAAAGAAGTTAAAATGCTAAAAGAAACATTGTCAGCTGAGAAGTTTAAAGGAAAACTGTCCTTTAAAAAATGAGGGAGAAATTAAGACTTCCCAGATAAAGAAAAACTGAGAGTTCATTTTCACTAGACATTCTCTGCAAAAAATGTCAAAGGGAGACTTTCAGGTTAAAAGGAAGCCAGACAATTACTCAAAGCCATATGGAGATATAAAGAGCTCCAGTAGAGGGAAATACATAGGGAAAACATAAAAGCCATTATTTTGTAATTTTGGTTTGTTACTCTACTTTTTGTTTTCTATAGATATAAAAGACAAATGAATAAAAAATACCTATATATATACATTAATGGGTACACAATACATAAAAATGTTAATTCATGGGACACCTGGCTGGCTCAGTTGGTGGAACATCCAACTCCTGATCTCATGGTCATGAGTTCAAGCCCCATATTGGGCATGGAGCCTATTTAAAACAGTTATTTCATGACTTCATTAATCTAAAGTGGGTGAAAATGGAACTGAGAAGTGGAATTTTTGTATGTGAACAAAGTTGGTGTCAATTTAAAATAGATTGTTATAACTTTACGATATATATACTTCCCATGGTAACCACACACAGGATACTATAGAACATACCCAAAAGGAAAACAAAAGGGAATCAAAGAGTGTCACTATTGGTACAGTGTTTCAGTTTAGAAGATGAGAAAGTTCTGGTGATGGTTGCATGAC